ATCGGCTTCCTTTTTGGTATAAGTAAAAGAAGGAGGGAGAAGAGCCATCACTTCCAAGTCTGAGAGCAACCATATTCCACTCCTTCCTCTCCCTTCCCTTCCTCCCTCCTCCCTCCCAGAAGTAGTGTTCAGTTTCCATTCAGTGATAAAGATTTACAGACTCTTAAAAACCAAAACTACAGATGCCTCTCTTTGCTAACATCTTCCAAGGCCCGACTTCCAAAAAGATTCTGACAAAATTAGGACTCTCTTTATTGTATTAAGAGATACGTGTAAAATACATATTATCATATTATCAACTTTTTAATTGAACACTAAATTTCACTGCCATATGGCAAGTCATTTATTATAGAAACTACTAGCCTCTATCTCAAATGAGGCTCCATAGTGCTGTTCCACTCTACACAGTATAGAATACATGTACATCCCTCCCACAAAACACAGTACTACTCAAGGCCAAAACAAGAAGGTAAGCACCAAGCTGCAGACTAAGAGGCAGAAAGGTGAGGACATGAATGAAGGAAACAGAAGAGAAGAGAAAGAAGGCAAGCAGCCTGCCCTGGAGAATCTCAAAGGAAGAGAAACAAGAGTGCAGAAAAAATGGTGAGGGGATGAGAGGGGGAGGGAATGGCATACAGTCATACTAAGTGCAACAGAATAGGGGCACCCAGGTGGCTCAGTTGGTTGAGTGTCCGACTTCCACTCAGGTCATTATCTCATGGTTCATGACCTCCAGCCCCACATGGGGCTCCGAGCTGACAGTGTGGAGCCTGCTTGGGATTTTCTCTCTCTCTCTCTCTCTTTCTCTGCCTGTCCTCTGCTCATGCACTCTCACTCTCGAAATAAATAAATTTGAAAAATAATAATAAAAATAAGTGCAACAGAATAAAGTAAATGAAGGAATAAGCAGGCAGAAAACCCACAAATTCCAAATCCTAAAAAAAAAAAACAGTCTGTTCAAAGGAGAAAATGTTACAAATAGCAAAACAGATGGTGGAATGGAGGAGAGGGCCTCCTGCAACACAGGAAACACGCTTCCTTTCCCATCACCACCAGCTCCCAAGCCCAGTACCTTCTTGCCACCTGTCCCTCGTCCCCTTCCCTCAGAGGGCCTCCCTGTCTCCAGTCACGAGAAGAATGACCCCCCACTGAACTTCCAACATAGTACCCATGCCTCCCCCACGGCACTTAACACACCCTAGTGTAATGAGCTGTTTCCCTGTCAGGCTCCCAGATACGCAGTGAACTCCTGAGAGCCAGAGACCACATCTTAATATCTGTACCCCACACCCCAGGACAGTACCTGGAAATAACAGCTGCTCAATAAGCATTTTAAAAATGTAGAATAAATTAATGAGAGCTAGTCTGACACAAAATTACCCAAATTGCAGAGGCATCGGAGGTTAAGGGAGAGAAGACCGAGGGAAACGCAGTCCTACTGAGCCCCAGCACCAAATACCTCATTCCTGCTGCCCAAAGCAACAAGAAGCCACTGAAACTTGTCTTCTGATGGAAATGAATGTCCACCCAGAAAGGCTGGCTCTCATTCTCCGCAGATCCTGGTTCCCATCCCGTGCTGACCTCGCCCTGCTGTTACGAGTCTGGAGATGGATTGCTTTGCAGAATCAGATGGACACTTCTTCTCTAGGAGCAAGGGCTGACTCTGAATCTTTAAGTAAACTCCTCAAATGGTCAACATACTTGTTGTATGATCAATTCTTTTCTTTCTCCTTTGAGCACAGCAAAGGCTCCTCCCTGGGTCATGTCTTTCCAGTGTTTTGATTTCAACACCCCACACCCCTCCCTCTGCCCGCTCAGAGGACAGCAGCTCTCCCCACAGCCTGGCTCAGACTTGTTTGCATGCACAGCAACTCTGACGCGGGTCAGCGCGGATGCTCTGGTGCCTGGCAGTCCCAATGCTCCCACTGTTCCCCTTTCAGTTACCTGGCACCTGGAGCTCTACAGGAGCTGTTCTCGCCTTTTCCTCACAAGAGGAAGTACAGTCGGACCGAGCCTAACCCTTCCCTGCTCCCTCCCTGTGTACTATCAGTCAGAGTCACTAGCCATTTTTCAGAATTTTCTGGGGGAACCAAGGAATAGGTGACTCTAAAAATGTCTGACAGTTCAGGATCCATCATAGACCAAAGGTGATTAACAAAATAAGCACATTTCTAAAAACTTATTATCCAAACAAACTATATAGAGTTGACCCTTGCCCGATATGAGGGTTAGGGGCCCTGACCCCCATTGCAGTCAAAAATCCACACATAACTTCTGGCTCCCTAAAAACTTAACTACGAATACCCTACCATTGACCAAAACTTACCAGGAACAGTCAATTAACACATATTTTGTATGCTATATGTATTATACTCTATTATATGTGTACTATATGTACTCTACTGTACTCTTACAGTAGAGTAATCTAGAGAAAAGAAAATGTTATTAAGAAAGTCATAAGACAAAATCCATTTAGGGTCCTGTACTGTATTGGAAAAAGTCCACCTGTAAGTGAACTCATGCAGCTCAAATCCGTGTTCAAGGGTCAACTGTATATATTTATCTTCATGGAAGTAAATATATATATGTATGTATGTATGTATGTATCCTCATTTTAGTTTGAATAAGCATTGCTCACACCAACATTACAATAATCAGGGAAGCTCATATCCGACTTAGAGGATTACTACTAACCCTTACAAAGTAAAACACAAGATTCTCTTGCATTGGAGTGCAGGAGGAGACTCCCCCAGGTTCCCAGAGACTGCATCTGCCTTCATCTACAAAGAGCAGCTGCACGCTCATGTTCTCACCACATACTGTACCTTCCCCAGGGGAGTTCAGGAATGAGCAGTTCCTAAGACCCCAAGAATGCGGCAGGCCCTGAAGTCTGCTGGCAAGGAGGCAACAGAGAGATGTTTATTTGAAAGCATTGAGCACATACCTGGATGTTAGTCCTGCCAACACAACCTCCCCACTTTCTGGCTTCGCCGTCTAGACGCCTAAGAGAAAGACAGCTTCCAAAATTCACATCTTGCATATCATTGCTTCTGACCCAAGTGGCCATGCGTCTTATACCCATTATGCATGGTTAGCATAGCCCCTGGGTCTAGACACACCAGTGACAAACAGAAGCTGTCATGCTGCTTGATTGCTTCCTCTTTAAAAGACGAATCCTTCTGATGGTGTAGCTCATACTCCCAACAGGAGTCCTCTTTCTAGGGCTGGCCTCAAAAGTCAACCTTAGCCACTAAGTGGCATAGACTGAGATCTGTTACGTTAGAAGCAGTGAGTGACCTCCACAGGGGCATCCCAGGTAGCAGATGGGCCAACAGCTGCTTTGCCCATTAAGATATCCTGTTCTTGGCCTTTGCTTTTCCCCCCCAGCAATCTGACTGCCGAGTTGGTCTGTGTGCAGAGGTTGAAGCCACCTCCTCTGCAATTTCCCCATGACTCAGACAGTGTGTGCAGGGGCCGGGCAGTGGCAGCTCTACAGACCTCAACTGGAAGAATGAGTGCAAGGAAACAGACTCAGGCCAAAGACCTCCCTAGAGGAACCAGGTGGTGGGAGGAGAAGGCTGGGAAAGGAGGAAGTTCAATTCCAGGAGGGGACAAGTGGTGCCAAATGGGTTAGTGTGGAAGACTTTAGCTCCAGCCTGGTGTGTGCCAGTGCAGCTCTGAGTGGCCTTTGGAAACAGTGGAGAGTGAGAGCCCCATGGGTAACCAAGGATTCTGGGCCATTCCCAGAATGATGTGCTCATGACAATATCAAAACAAGAGCATGGCACCGATTCAAGTTGCAACCCCCAAAATCAGAGGAAGCAGGTCACTTGGATGCCCCTCATCCTCCCAGTCCCATGTATCTGAGAAATTTCAAGAATCCAAGTCTTCACGGTACCCAGGCACCACAATACCTATGAATGCAAACTTTCATAAAGCCATAGCAAAAAACAGAGGTGCTTCTGTGATCTGACCATCTTTCCATTCCCAGCACCTTTCCAGTCCTGCACCTGGGGTCTCCAGATGCTCTTTACTAAGCTTACACCACTTGCATACTGCCAGGGGCAGAAGCTGGACCCCTACAGTCAAGTGCAGTCATCAGAAGTTTCAGTGAATCAGTGTCATAAGCAACCCCGGCTGCTCTGCTCCGTAACAGACATCAGGGCAAATGGGTCACCCTTGGCCAACAAGGAAATGGGAAAATTGAGAGATTTTTCCCAGCTCAGCTCCAAGTGAAACTCCACTTGAAACTCCAGGCTCCAAACAGGTGCTCGATCTAGATGGCCTGCTCTGAATGGACTGGAATCCCCTCACACAGAAGGCAGGCCCAGCACAGAAGAGTATAGGGAGAAGCAGCAATGGAGGAGGGAAGGCTCCCAGTACTTGAGTCTGTCCTTTTCATTTCAACCCACAAAATACCCCAATTGATTCCTTTCATCCCAGTCCAAGTTTTCCAGGCTCAGGACACAGGATAACTGAACATGTTACCCAGAAGAAATGTAGCCAGGCTCCGAACTGGAACGCTTGCATCACCTTCCAGTTTTACAAGAAGAGAAAAGAAGCCTCAGAAGAACTGTCTGAAGGGATTTAGATGCCCTGGTTGAACAGGGGCGGACCTTTCCCCGACCCCTCCAACACCATCCTCAGAGCGCCTCCTATCTGCCTTGCAGACACACTGCGGGTCCGGGGCGGCAACTTCCTGGGTTCCGGCCCCTCGGCGCCTGATCTAGGAGGCGCTGATTGGCCGCGCCAGACCAACACCTTCTGAAGCAGCGGGCGCTCCTCCGACAGCCCACGTGCATCCAGATGCACGTGAGCCGAAGCTCCACGGAGCTTAGGAGCGGACTGTCCCTGTTAGATCCAAAGTGGGAAGCGGGAGAGATCAACAAAATTTTAACCCGGGGTCACCTGCTCGGCACAAAGGGCATTTGGAGAGCTAAGGACGGTGGCCCTAAGAAAATGGAGCTGTCTGGGTCCAAAGAGGTGACAGATCAACTCACCTGCCTGGTGAAAAGGATGGCTGTGTCCCAGTACTCGGGGTGTTTGTCACTCACTTTATTCAGCTTCTTCTGCCAGGCGCAAAAGTTGCGCAGCGTCAAGGCCGCGTTGCCCGTGACCTTGGGCCCAGCGTCGCGGTCTCCGAGAAGTAGCACCTTGACTACAACAATGCTGATGGGGTTGAGGATGCTGGGATGGCGGTAGAGTCGCGCCGCCGTGGCCAGCAGCGTCAGCAGGTAATGCTCCAAGTCTGCGCCGTGGAACTTGACCATTGACTCGTCTGCCACCACCAGTGTCTCCACGTACCGCGGGATAGACACGAAGCGCTTGGAGCGCCCGGACCTGCGCCGACCGCGACTCTCTCCTAAGCTGGTCCCCCGCGGCTTATAAGGGTCCAGCGCCCGCAGGATGGCGGGGTTCCAGCCTGAGGCCACCCCGCAGCGAGAGGTGGGATCTCCGGCAGGCCCACCGGGGGCGCCTCGGCGCTGGAGGAGGTGTGCGCCCTGGCTGTTGCGCTGCACTGCCTGCGCGCTGGCGTTGGGCAGTGGACTAATGACATACTCGGCGCCTCGGTAGCCAAAAGCACCGCGTAGACCCCCGCACAGGCTCACAGCGGCGAAGGAGTCTGGTTCAGCGTTCACGTCCCCAGAGTAGAAGCAACGTCTCAAGTGTGGAGAGCTCCCGGTGAGTCCCGGGAAGGGGACGCCCAGATGCTCAGTGGCGAAGGCGGGCGCCAGGAACTGAGCATCTGGAGTCAAGTGTAGGTAAAAGTCCTCCTGAAATGCTGTGATCTGAAAAATGAGTCCCTGGTGCCCGGAGTCCTCGGGACCCCTCCGGTAGTAGTGGCGGCCGTTGATGTCCGGGTCCAGTCGGATGGGAACCACCACCTCCTGCTCTGGCTCTGCTGCACCAGTGGGTCCCCCGGCGAGAGCCAGGGTTAAGATGCCCAGCAGAAGCATGGCGCCGGGCAGCGCACGGCCGCACTCTCAGAAGGGCTCGGCCCGGCTCCCGGCTCCCAGCCGCCGGCGAGTCTCCCTGCAGCCGGCACTCGGCAACCACCAACGCTCCGGGGCAGTCCGCAGCTCCCAGAAAGCCGAGCAAAGGGAGAGAGACTCCTCCCAGAGCAGTGAGCGTGCACTCAACAGCCCGCGCCTCCTACCTGTGCCTTTCCAAGCAAAGCGCGCCCTGGGAGCTTAAGTACAATCGCTGTCAAGTGCAAGGACGGAGATTTGCAGCCGAGAACTAGAGGGAGGTGCCGGGCCGCTTCCTCGAACCGCAGCCACTCGCGGCGCTGAGAGCCAGGCGCTGGGCGAGCCTATTAAAGGCCCCCTCCTCTTTGGACTGCCCAGTCAGCGCCCCTCCCTCTCTCCCCTCCCAGCCTCCCAAAGCTTGCAGCCCCGAGCCTCCAGGGGCCACCGGAGAACTCGGTCCCGCCTCCAAAGCGGAGAGCCACTTGGCGGGGAGGGAGTGGCGTTGAGCTGAGACAGGAGGCGTGGGCTGGCTGGAGAAACCAGCGCTTACCGTCTCCGTTTGCATTTTGCCCTCGTATTATGCCCCAGTGCCCCTCAAGCATCAGTTACATCTGTCCCGATCGACATCTGTCTGCTCCCTGGGTCTAAGCCTTTATCTCGAGGCAGTAGGGTCAGGAGTTAGGAATGAAGACTCACCTTTGACCCCTCCCCCCCAGCCTAGGCCCGCCTCATCCCTCCCGTTGCAACATCTCTGCTGTTTCTTCATCACAGTGTCCCCTAAAAGACCCAGAACCAAGAATTGTCGCTGTAAATGTCTTATCGTCAGAAGGGCAACTTCCCAGGAACACGGAGAACCCTTCTCGAACCCATGTGGACCCACAGTCTGCCCTGAGGTGGTGGTGTGCTGGGTGGGCTGGTGCAGAGCGTTAAATTTTCAGGGATTTGGCCAGGCAGCTGTTAAACACCACCGTTACTAAAAATTAAACTATATATAAACTTACAATTATAAGCTGTTTAATAACAAACCCTGCCACTGCCTAATTATTTGACTATAATCTATGCCCTTGAGGAACCAGAGCCATCAACCCTCCTGGACAGCCCAGAGCTCCCAGAAAAGATAACGGCCCACGGAGGTGAAAGTATAATGGAAATATTAAATGCTACCCCATTCGGGGACATCACAAGAGGAGCTGGAAACAGGCCCCAGGGGGAGTGCTTACACCACCAAATGGGCAACTGCTATCTCTCAGGGCTTGGGGAAGGGAAGAGAAAGACTGGGCCAGCACCAGTGCCTGGGGCGGATGTGGAGAAAGGGCTGGTCTTCCTGCCAGGGAGGGGCCGAGGGACTGGTGGGCAATAGGAAAATCTGCCAGTTCTTCCTCCAAGCTTCTCTCCTTATGTCCTTGACCAGTTACAACGTAGGGCCCTGGAAGGGAAGGCCGAGAGTAGCTTGGTGGGGACAAGACCATCAAGCCATGAGTTCCCGTCTAGTTCTGAGATAGTCTGGGAAGCCCTGTTTCAGACACTCTGTACCTCTCCAAAAAATCCCCTTCTTCCTTCTGACAAGGAAAAAAAAAAAAGCAAGTAGAGGAAAGAAGGTCTTCGTAGTTTCTCCGAGCACCTAGGACACCTTGCCAGAACCAAAACGCTCCAAGTTGAGTTTCTAAGAGAAGAGGACAGGATGGGGGAGGATGTAGTGATTTGAAGCATGAAGTGGGTTGGTGCAGAAGAATTTTGGAATTTTCTTAGAGACATGGCTGCTCAAGTGAACAACTCTACTGTTGAAGGAAAAAGAATGCCGGGACCAGCCCATCAGTTAAGAGCACATTTTGCCCATTAACCTTCTCCCCGCGAAGGACTCAGTCTTCCTTCCAAGAGCCCCCTGGTGCCTTGGAGCAGGAAGCCTGCTCAGATACCCATAATTCTCCTAGGCTCCTCCTCAATTGAGATGCACGGGGCTGAAATTCATTATGTGAATGTGTAAGAGAAGGGTGTTTATGCTCTGTAAATGCAAGGGAGCGTGTGCATATGGGAGGAATTACGTGAGAGCAAGGAAATTCAAATTTACAAAGCGCTTGTGTGTTTGAGTGTTTCGAGAGGGCCTATAATTAAAGGAAAACTCAGACAGATCAAGGGCAATTGTAAGCCACTTATTTGGGGCAAGCAATTGTTTTCCTACACCCTGGGGTTTTAATGATGGGTTATGAGGTTTCCAAAGACATTTTACTTTCACTGTAGTGGATGGGGTTTGGTAAGGGCTGTGGCATGTCGATCAAGAAGGCAGGCTCAGGGAGAGGAAGCCCTTCCCCACCTGTGTGTCTTGCTTCCTCTTCCCCAACCATGGCCCAGCTGTTCTTTTTTTTTTTTTTAATGTTTTATTTATTTCTAGGAGAGAGAGAGAGACAGCGTGAGCAGGGGAGGGTCAGAGAGAGAGGGAGTCACAGACTGAAACAAGCTCCAGGCTCTCAGCTGGCAGTCAGCACAGAGCCCGAAGCGGGGCTCGAACCCACGAACCGCGAGATCATGACCTAAGCGAACGTCGGACGCCCAACCGACTAAGCCACCCAGGCGCCCCAACTGCCCAGCTGTTCTTACCACTGGGCACAGAAACCAGCCATATGGACTTTCTCAAAGGCACTGGCATGCCTTGAGCACTCACTCTGTGCTGAGCACCACACCAAGAATCTCATGTGCGTTATCTTATTTAATGCTTGTCTCTACCTTCTTGGAGGCTGTAGTTCTGTACAGTCACTTCTGCCAGGGGCTCCTAACCAGGATCTGGGTATCTACGGATATGCTGAAGTAGATTACAAACAGCATTCGCACAGAAGGCAGAACTCAGCATCAACCCTCCATTTCTGTCACTAATTTGATATTCTGACTCTTAATATTCTCATCTGTCAAAAGAGGAGGGATTACCTTAGATCAGAGGTCTTCTCTCAGAGGACTGAGTTAGAAATTTCTGGTCTATATGCTACTATCTAAGATCACTTCCAGATCAAATATTACATGACTATTCGATGCCTATGGGAGGCAACATCGCATAATGATTGAGAGTCTCAGCTCGGAGGACCCAGATGTGCATCCTTGCTCCACCCACCTCAGTTGTGCAATTTCCATTACGTGACTGTGTGACTGGACTTCCAGAAGCCTCAGCTTCTTCATTATTAAAATTAGGGTAATAATACTACCCATCTCTATTGTTACTATGAAGATAAATAAGTTAATGCTTAAAAAGTGCTCAGATGTGCTTGGTACCTAAAGAATGGTTCTTAAATGTTATTTAATAGTTAATATTCTCATTAGCTATTATTAGTATTATCATTATTATCAAGTCTTACTTGGCCTTCTAAGATAACTGCCTCATTACCTCCTGAAGTCTCTCCTGATATTCCTAACAGGGAAGGGATGGAAGCTAATGGGAACAATCTCTCCCAGGTTTGCCCAGAAACTTCCCGTGTCACTTCAACCACCCCACCTCCACAAGGACTCTGCTGTTGCCACCCTCTTGCTTCTGCTTGTCCTCCACCATCTCTCTCTCTTTTTTTAATCTTTGTTTATTTTTGAAAGACAGATTACAAGCTAGTGGGTGAGGGGCAGAGAGGGAGAGAGAGGATCCCAAGCAGACTCCAAGCTGTCAGTGTGAAGCCTGATGTGGGGCTTGAACCCACAAACTGTGAGATCATGACCTGAGGTGAAACCAAGAGTCAGATGCTTAACCAACTGAGCCATCCAAGAGTCCCCCTCCACCATCTTAAGGTCTTTGAGAAATAAAAAGAAAAAAAAAAACAACTCTGTCCCCCAAAGAAAACCTGGGGGTGTAGTCCATGGTATCAAATCTAAATACTTCAGCGTGGCCAGTTATGCCTTTTGCCAACTAGGCTGACCTCTTCCTGCCCTTCAGGTCTCCAGCCAGGTGCCACCTCCTGAGAGGGGACTTCCTAGGCCACCTGACCTAAGAAGCCCCAAATCATGACCATGATTCCATGTTTTATTTTCACCATGGAATTTAATTCTATTTAAACCTGTTTTATTCACTTGGCTCTTAACTTTTTTATTGACTCCCCCACATCCCAACTAGAATGAGAGTGGGACCTTGTCTGTTTCATTCCCTATTATATCCACCAGGGCTTGGCACAGTGCTTGACAAATAGAATTGACTTGATTCTAATCCCAGCTTGGTCACTAATTGTCTATGAAACTCTGGGCAAGATACTTTATCTCTGGGGGCACCTGGGTGGCTCAGTTGGTTGAGCGTCTGACTCTTGACTTCGGCTCAGGCTGTGTCTCATGGTTTGTGGATTCAAACCCCACATCGGGCAGTGCAGAGCCTGCTTGGGATTCTTTCTCTCTCATTCTCTCTCTCTCCCCCTCCTCTTCCTTCTCTCTTTCTCTCTCTCTCTCTCAAAATAATAATAACTTCTAATAAACTTTTAAAAAGATATCTCATCTCTAAAATGAAGATAAAACTATCTTTTAGGAGAGTTTGGAGTGCCTGACACACTGCTCCCATAATTATTAACTCTCTTCACCTCTCTGATGGAAAGCTCAGCCCAGTAGCCTAGTCACCTAGCCCACTCATTACCTGTTTGAGGCAGCTGGAGTCCAGAGGGATGGTTACTTGTCTAAGGCTCCCCGGCCAGCTGCTTTGCTCATGTCATCTACTCACTTCTCTCTACCCTTTACATGAAAACCTGGCTCTAGCTTGGCTTCTTCTGCCCAGAAGTTATTCTTCCAAGATGCATGGCTTTGTGTAAACCATTTCTTCCATATAGGATGCTCCCTCAGCCTCCTCTATGCCTGTGGATTTAACTCGCACCTCCTATATGAAAACACTTCATTTAACTCACACAGCACAGCTTTGCTCCTTGTTTCTCAATCCCTTCAGTGTATGCCTATTCCACTTCTAGCATAAGAATATTCCATTTGGGGGCACCTGGGTGGCTCAGTCAGTTAAGCGTCTGACTTCGGCTCAGGCCACGGTCTCACAGCTTATGAACTCGAGCCCCGTATCAGGCTCTGTGCTAACAGCTTAGAGCCTGGACCCTGCTTCATATCCTGTGTCTTCGCCTCTCTCTGCCCCTCTCCTGCTCATTCTCTCTCCCTCTATCTCTCTCTCAAAAACAAACATTAAAAAAAATTTAAAGAATATTCTGTTTGAACTTGCCTTTTCTAATGAAATATTAAACCCTTTTCCCGAACTGGGC